GCATACCATAGTTGACAAAGACAATGTTCTGGGTCCTACTTTGGTGAATAAGTTACTGGGGTCTTAAAAGCTTTCAGGCAACCATCTAAGGTTCTCAGAACTAATTGTTCTTCTTTGGTCACAAAGAAAAGCAAAGATGGACTGTAATAATTAGTCCAAAAAACAAATTTTCACAGCTCAACCTCTACAACACTCAGGCCAGAAGAGTTACTGGCCATTCTAAAAGGGATCACAGTAAAAGACAATATATTGAGAAGAGGGGGGAACATGGAACAAAACTCCAAAATATAAAAAAGATCAGGTTTGCTGACCCAACAGAGACTAGTGGAACATCCCAGACCATGACTGTTAGTAACTCTTCAAACACAATAGTTTTGAACCTTCAAATCTGTGGCTCATTTTTCAGTCAGACAATGTACTGGCTTATAAGGTAATCAACAGTATCCATAGGCAATCACTCCTTAGAATAATCACTCACATAAGGTCAAAAGAGCAGCATCTGCCCAAGGACAAAACCCAAAAGTCAAAAAGGGAAAGGATGAGAGAAGAATTAATGGAGATGAGAGTAACAGGCAGAAAATGGGGAAAGTGTGATTACAATGTAGGTATAGTAATGAATGTTATTTTAAAAACTGTGTATGAGTGGCTTTGCAAGCTTACAATCAAATCATAAATAAAAATGAACTGTTTTCAGCTTTGGAAACCCTGAGGGATTCTTCAACCGTGTCCTTTAAGGTTACTGTGACTCAGAATCAACTAAAACACAGTGGGTTTAGTTTTGGTTTGGAAATTTTCAAAAAGATTACAAATGTTACTCTAATAAATTAACATTACCTATTACTACTGATTTGTCATGAGAGGTTATATATGTGATGTCTGATAATAGCTTTTGATACTGACATGTACACTAAATACTGTCATCAATCCATGAGTACATGATTTTTAGTATATTCACTGTTCAGAAGGCATTTATATAATTCTATATATTCTTCTCTTAGTATTTGGACTTAAGCATTTGCAAATAGCTATTACATTGCAACTTAGTCACTCTGAATGGGACATCAGTAGCATAGAACCTTATAAAAAGACCAAGGGCCACGTGGGAACTGCCATATTTGACCTTTACCAACTTCATGAACAGTATGTTAATAGCATGAACACAAAACCAATTCCCATGAGGACAGACATGTCCACTGTACTCACATACCCCTATCTACTCATCTCAGCACCAATCTTACTGTTTTGCTGGGTACGAAATCCAAAGCAATAACTCACAGACCATGCAGAGTCATGTTAGAGAAGTCAAGAAGTTATAAATCAGATTAGTAACAGAATACAGTCAGAATGGCTTCTAAATGTGGTCACAGGCACCTCAGCCTTGAGCCTCATGGCTTTCAGCCAGTGTTTAAAAGTTCTTACTCCTGCCAATATTGGCTCCCCCTTCCCTTGCTGTCTAACAAACGTGGACAAAGGGTCTTAGCTTAGCTCTGGTTCTGTCTGTTGGAGGTAGCAGTCTCAACGTATAACTATGTTGGTTCTCTGGTTCAGCCATGGCTGCTGCAAGGTGTAGGTACAGCTGGAGCAAGACTTTCTAGGCCTGAATGATATGCTACATTCTCTTGATGTTTCCTTGCGAGTGGGGAAGATCATTCTCCTCCTGGTGTTTGGTCTGCTTAATTTAATGTTAAGACTAGCCAATCCCCTTTTGGATTGGTATAACTAATAAGCCCCTTGTCGATAGGGTAACACGCCCTATTTGCATATTCCCACCCATCTCCAAGGCAAAGTCAAGTCACTACTAGGAAAGCCACTTGGAATAAACCCTTAACTCCACACACCTTTTCAACTGTATAGTTAAATAAATGGATTTGGAAATACCAAATTATCTTCTGCCATAAAAAGCTATTTGAGCTCAAATCTGAATGGAAATGGAGATCATGCTTCCATTTTCACAGTACTTTTTAAATCACTTTTTTTTGTTACTTCTCGATTAAGTAATGTTGTTTTTAAATTCTTTTACTACAGTATATGTTTTGCATATAAATACTATCTTGCCTAGCAATTTCAAGTTAAATGTATTAAGAAATATTATCAAGTCTGCAGAAAAAAAATTATAGAGGTATAATATAGTTCTTCTCATTTACAATAAAGTTTCAATGCTAACCCATCAAATTGCTGAATGGTAGGCCAAGTCAAGCTTTTATATCTGAAGAAGTTCACTGAGATAATGATTAAGTTCATGAAAAATGAATGATATTCACCAGATATTCACCATTGAGACTACAAGTTCAACTAGAATTACCAATTGAAACATTTTCTGAAAGTACTTGCTGTTCAGTAACAACTATAGAATTTAAACATCGCATATTTTCACAAGATTTGTAAATTTATCCTTCACAAGATTTGCAAATTCGTAAATTTAAGTTTTCTGTTTCACACATAACTTTACCACCATCAACTATAATAAATGTTAACATATTCCACTTTAGCTTATAATGAATATGTGGGGTTTTTTCCAACTTCTTTGAAAATATTCTCACTTCAATTGTTTCAAGGAGACCGGTCAACCCAAGGTCAATAGTTTAAATCCTTCAGATAGTCCAGAGAAAGATAATGCCTGTTCCCCATAAAAATCTGTAACCTCAGAAACCCTGTAGGGCAGTTATACTCTGTTCTATAGGGTCTCTATGAATCAAAATCCACTCAACGGCAGTGGGTATCAGGATTATATAGCCACATTAGTTCATACATGATACTTGTAAACATAGTTTTAAAATAAATCTCTTCAGTAGGCTATAAAATTTTCCTTGAGCAAATCTGGCTGCTCTGATGCAGACAAGTTTGCATGCTAATGTATTTAACCAGGATAGGGTTTTGGCAATCATAGATTACGCATATAATTATACTTAAATAGATCAGGATTCATCAGGCAAATAGGAAGGAAAAAAGAAGGTAAAAGTCAAAGGTGACTGTAAGGAAATAATCTCTGGACTAGACCATAGGACCTAAGCTGAGTAGAAGAGAAGAAAGACCATAAATGAGAACTCAACAAATAAACTAAACAAGGTAGAAGAAATAAACATTGACAAACAAGAAGGTACATTTAAAAATTTTACATCTTTACTAGGTGTCACATGATATTTTTGTCTTACAAAAGAAAAAAGTATAGCACAAGACAATTTGAAGTTTCAGTATCTAGTATTTTATAACAAAGAATCTGTGGGAAGCCAACCTGACCGGGTCTTGGCTCTGGCACGAGCAACTCTATTTTGTCCGTGGACCTCATTTCATATACTCACTTCTGACAAGCAGTGGGCAGAGCTCAGTATAAGGCCGACCTGCCCATCTCTGGGAAACTGTTTACCTCACTAGATCAGTGGCTGTAATTCAATACCTTGGGGCGTGCCTCTCCTTCCTATTGTAAACTAATATCCTGGGGCTGGGTTTCTGCAGCAACCCCGCCTATGTTACAGACCTAGGCAGTTCCCCTATTTAAGGCTGTGATTTAATTCAATAAATTCGAGGCTTGATCAGGAAAACTTGTCTTGCCTCCATTTCTTGCGTCTCTTGTCCCTCTTCAATCCCTACTCCTCCTCCTTTAGGTCACTTTTGAAGAAACCCGCAGGCAGGGGCAAGAATCTTTAGATATGTTAGCGTTATAAATTACTATTTATAACTATAGTTACAAGTATAACATTATAAAATACTAACTATACTAATACTAATATGTGTGTGTGTGTGTGTGTACTTTTTTCCTTCTTTTTAATAACCAATTATAAAAGCTCTAGTGGCACAGTCATTATTTGTTGTGCTGCTAACTGACAGCAATTACAATACACCAAGTGCTTCACAGGAGAAACTCAGGCAGTCTCCTCTCGTGAAGATTTACTGGCTCAGAAACCCAATGTGGAGCCATTATTAGTTGGAAAGGACATAAAAGCAATTGGTTTGATTTTGAGGAATACACAGGAACCCTGGAGGCACAATGGTTAAAGAGATAGGCATAGCTATCTGCTCCTGTAAAGACTACATACAGTCTTAGAAACAATGTGAAGCAGGTCTACTCTATCCTATAGAATCACAATGAGCCTGTAAGACAATGGTTTATTGTCAATATATTTGGACTATATTACCAAATAATAGAAGAAGTTAGGAAAGTAGATAAGGATAAAGTGGAACCAAATTTATCACACACTGGCAACTATTTAGTTGGGTAAAAAGTTTACTATTGAGTATACTTTTGTTTTATGTTTTAAATTTTCCACAAAAAGTTAAAATCAGAAAATAAAAAAGCCATTTATGTAAAGGTCATTTAAAATGAAATTTATATATATTCCTTGTTAATCATGTCCTATAATTTAAGACCTGAAAATTTTTAAATCTATGTCTAAATGTAATTAACACTGAAAGATCATTTATAAATAATTTGTATATTTCCATTTTTTTAAAAAAGATAGTATGTTTTCTATAAAGACTTATTTAAGAAGCCCCCGTGGAGCAGCATGTTACATATTGGACTGTTGTTAACTGAAAGGTAGGTTGTTTGAATCCAAAAGCCACTCTGGGAAAAAGATGAACCATGTCCACTTGTTAAGATTTACAGCAATAGAGCCCAATGAAGGGTCATGATAAGTCAAAACTCACTTGAAAGCACTAGGTTTAGCTTTTGATTATCAAGACTAATTCACATGCTGATAATATTCACCTTGCTCTGTAAACAAACATATTTTCTTTTTATCTAAAGAATTTAACTGTTTGGTTTTGTGTAAAATCTCCTAAAAGAGCAAGACAGGAAAAGTAAAAGGAGAAACCTAAGCATCATGAGTATTCATAATCTTTCCTATGCTCTACAGTGGAAAAACTCTCCAGTATGTACAATTTTGCCATTTCCCTATCTCACAGGTCACAGCCTGACATTTAAGTATAAATCAACACAATTAAATTGTTATTTTAACTGAAACTAAGTTATACAAAATAAAAACTTTAGATATTAAACTTACTATTTCTTTCCGTTCTCTTGGAAAAGAAGAAAATAAGCACTGTTCTTATGCTCCATATTCTAAAAAAGGAAACAACAGTGAGAAACAAAAAGCCATTATTAGGACAGGTGAATTATGAGACATTCTATTTTATTATAAAATAAAAACAAACATTTTCAATTAAAGTACTTTGTTCTCTTTTATATTTTGAAAATTAAAAAGGGCTCTTCTCTTAAAGATTACATCGGAAATCTAAGTGTATTTTAAAAGGTAAAATTTTCAACTTCTGAAGATCATACTAAATTATATGTAAAATTGTCTTTGTGTACCTAAGTGTGTTTCTCTGGAAGTTCATGGCTCTTATTATTCTCAAAAGGGTCTATGAAGACACCAAAAAAGTTAAGAACAATACCAAAAAGCTAAGAGCAATATTTTTTTTACAAAGTAAATACCAATTCTAAAATTTGTCTATTCCTATACAAAAGTGAAAAGCACATACTGCAGACCCAGAGCACCATATGAATAGAAGTTGTTGATCCTTCACTACTATTTAACAATAGAGGTGCAGGGGATTTTTCCTCCATTGCAGTGGAGTAGGCCATGTTATTGTTGATGAGTTAAGTCAAAACTGACACATAACTGAACCTCCAGTAGGATTTCAGAGACAGTAAATTACACAGGAGGAGACTACCCATCCTGCTCCTCTGCAGCATCTGGTAAATTCAAACCACATGCCCTTGGGATTGCAAAACATCTTCTTACCACTAGGCCACCAAAGCTCTTTAGGTCTTGTATTAATAAAATGCCAAATGATATTGAAAGAATTTCAAGAAGTACAAATATTTTGATCACAAATGTATTAAGGTCATTTTTTAAGTATAATTAATATATAGCAAAGTATCTCTTCTGCACAAAACAAGACAGATATAAGTAAACAAAAATTGTCTATCACTTTTAAAAATAAAAAAAAGCATTGTATTGGGATATAAATTCAGATGTTAAATTATGAAATTTAGCTTTTTATACCAAAATATACTCAGTGCATATTCTTGGCAAAAAAAGAACTCATTAAAAATCCAATCCACTGCTGTCTGCATTTCCTCAAAAAGCTAAATATAGGAATTCCATATGACCCAGCTTTTCCACGGCTCGGAAGATACCCCGAGAAAATTAGAACTGAGGCACAAATGGAGATTGGTACACCAAATGTTCCTAGCAGCATTTATTCACCATTGCAAGAACATGGAATTGTCCAATGTTGGGGGGCGGGGAGACAACTGAAGGGTGAGGATGGGAGGGGAGGCTTAATCATAGGGTTGGACAATTTGATGGGTGGAGGGAGGGGTCAGTAAAGGAAATGGGGAAGATCTGGTGTGAAAAACAATGTATACAAACTTTGTAAGTAAACCAGTATAAAATAAAAATTTAACTTTAAAAAAAATCCAATCCACTGCTATAGAGTTGATTCCAAATCATCGTGACCCTCCAGCAATTTCCAAGGTAATAAATCTTTATAGGAGAGGACAGACCATCTTGCACCTAAGGAGCACCTGGAAGGTTCAAATTGCCAACTTTTTTATTAGCAGCACAGTATCTTACATACTATACCACTGTTGTTATTTCTATGTGTCATTGAGTTGATTGCAACTCACAGCAACCCAAGAAAAATAAATCTGTACCTTGCCCATCCTGTGTCATCCTCACTACACAACTAGGGTTCCTTAATTTACAAACAGCAAGGGGTTTGGGGTTGTTGTTTTTTTTCTTTTTCTCTTTTAATTTTTTGTGTGTACCGTCAAATCAGATCTGACTGGTACAGGAGGAGAGTGTCCCTCCTTCTCCAGCAGAGCATTTGGTGGACTCAAACCACACACCTCTGGTACCACAGTGCAGCTTTCTGCCACTAGGCCACGAGAGCTCGCCCAAACAGCAGTTTTTTTAAAAAAAGTAAAAAGTTCATAGGAACAATTTTTAAGAGAGAGTATGTGAATAAAGCAAACAAAATAGATGAGGATGATCATCATGTGCAAATGAAATAGATGAGGATGATCATCATGGATACAAAGGATACAAAGAAAGGTAAAATAATCATAAGAAACCATTAACTACTATTACTACTATATTGTTGCTGTTTTGTGCTGTCGCATTGCCTGTGAATCATAGCAATCTTATGTACAACAGCTCTAAATCCTGCTCTCTCCTGTGCCAATCTCACTGTCTCCAACACTCATTACCCCAGTCACTGAATCAATCCACCTCATAGAGGGCCTTCCTCTCCTGCACTGTCCTTCCACCCTCCCAAGCATGACGTCCTTCTCCAAGAACTGGTCCCTCCTTGCAACATATCCAAAGTATGTCAGACAATGCTTCAAAATCCTTGAATCCAAGGAGCAGCTTGGTTTAACTCTCTCCAGGACAAACCTATTCATTTTCTTAGCAGTCCATAGCATATTCAATACTATTCTCCAGCACCACAGCTCAAAGGCATCAATTCTCCTTTGATCCTCCCAAGCCATTGCCCAGCTCGCTGATGCATAGCAAGTGATTGCAAAGACCATGGCCTGTATCAGGTACACCTCAGTCTCCAGACTAATGTCAATGCTCTTCAGTACTTTGGAGAGATCCCTAACAGCAGACTTTCCCATCACAATACGTCATTTAATTTCCTGGCTGTTGGTTCCAAGAGTGCTGACTGTAGAGCCAAGCAAACTAAAGCTGTTAATAATCTCAATCTCTTCACCATCCATCCTAATGCAGCCAATTGGTCCAGTGGTGAGAATCTTTGTCTTCTTGACATTGAGCCTCAGTTTCAGCAAGCAGGGTTCTGTCATCTGCATGACGCATATTGTTGATGAATCTTCCACCAATCCTACTGCCATATTTCTCCTCATAGAGCCCATACTCCCGGATAATGTGTTCTGCATACAGGTTGAAAAGGTATGGAGATAGGATGCATCCCTGGCATACACCCTTCCCAATTTTGAACCATGCAGTGTTTCCTTGCTCTGTTCTGATGACTACCTCCTGGTCCAAGTATAAGGTTTTGTATTAGCACAATCAAGTGTTTGGGGATTCCCATTCTTCTCAGAATCAGCCACAGTTTGTTATGCTCCACACAGTCAAATGCCTTTGCATAATGAATGAAACACAAATAGACACTCTTCTGGTACTCCCTGCTTTCGGCCAAGATTCATCTAACATGAACTAACCCTTCTAAATCCAGCCTGCACTTTTGGCAGTTCTCTGTTGATATGCTGTTCCAGCCATTTTTGGATAATGTTCAGCAAAATCTTGCTTGTGTGTGATATTATATTGTTCTGTAACTTTTGCACTCTTTTGGGTCACTTTTCTTTGGAATGGGAACAAATACAGATCTCTTCCAGTCAGTTGGCCAGGTGGTTGTTCTCCAGATTTCTTGGCACAACTGGGTGAGCACATCCAGGGCAGCAACTGTTAGCTGAAATATGTCAATTGGTATACCATCTATTCCTGGAGACTTATTTTTTGCTATTTCCTTCAAAGCAGCTTGAACTTTTCCTTCATCACCATAGGCTCTTGCTCATAAGTTGTTTCATATTTTTCTGTGTTGTGTCTGCCAATTCCTTTTGATACAGTGACTCAGTATATTCTTTCCATCTTCTTTTAATACTTCCTGGATCATTTAATATTCTGCCTAAAGCATCCTTGATTATAGTAACTCAAGGTATGAGTTTGTTCTTCAGTTTCCTGAGCTTAAGAAATACTGAGCAAGTTCGTCCCTTTTGATTTTCTGACTCCAGATCCTTGTACATTTCATTGTAATATTTTGCTTTGTCATCCCGTGCTGCCTTTTGAAATCTTCTATTCAACTCTTTAGTATCTTAAATTCTTCCCTGTGCTTTACAAATACATATTAATACTATAGAAAGGTTGTGTGTGTATGTGTATGTAACTTAACAAACTCTAAAAACAAACACTATTAAAATCAAAACAGTCAGTAATATATAAATGTAAACATAAAACAAATGCACATAATGATATTTAAAATGCTGAATCAAGGAAACCTAGAGATGTGTTTTTCTTGTATACAATAATTACACAAAAACTATCAGTACTCTTTGGTTTTCTATTTAACACTGAAAAAATACAGTATCTCCTATATTTATTAATATATTGCTAAATTTTGGAAAAACAGAATTGTCTAAAATATGTGTAGCTCAAAATTATTAATCAAGTGTGGTTTTTACTCTCCCCCACCTTTCTCTTTTGGATATCAGCTGTACACTCTAAGTTGCTAAAAGGGATTTCACTACTACGTGAAAATGGACTAGGATATATAAACATCATGTACAGAAGGGAGGTATACTAATATTTGAGTATTAGAATTGAAAACCATTTATGTCTTCCTTTATCTTTTACTTAGACTTCTCTTTAAAATTTCATACATTAGAGTTCTTTGAAAGGATAATTTCAATTGTTTCTGGAAAACCATATCCAATAAAGGTTATTATCTAAAAAAAAAAGTTGTCAAGCTATTTTCAAGCTCAAATGGTTTCAAAGGGAATTCCACTAAATCTGTAAGAGACAAAAAAAAAGACAAATGCCAATACTATTTAAACTATGTCTTCTCTTTTTCAAACATGTGTATTCCCTTTTCAACAATCACATAAGCAGTCTTCAATTTAATGAAATGTGTTATCTGATATAATATGTAAAGCTAAAAATAAAAATCTTTTTTAAAGAACTATACTGACTTTTTACCCCCAATTTACCTATCCATTGAAAGCTTGAACAAGAATTATCTTCATATGCAAACAGCTAGGTGAACTAATAATGATTTATTAAGGTGTACAGAATAATACCAAGTTTTGAGTTTTAAAGGAGAGTATGTTTTTTGTTTACTTTGTATATGATGCAACATTATTTGAAAAGCCCTTTTAACCATACATACAACTCTCATTTTACTTTATTTCTGGATTCTGAAGTCTCTTTCTTTGGCTTGTGTGTTTATATGCTATAGTAAACTGTTTTAATGAATAATTTTATAATGCATATTATTACAGGTAAACTTCTGCTTCTTATTCCCCTCCTTCTACAAAAT